TTAGGATACCCTCAAGGCAAACTTGGGTCAGTGATGTTATTTTTTTTAAATGCCATAATTGGGGCAGCTAGCTGACGCAGTGGATAGAGCTCTAACCTTGGAGTCAAGAAGACCTGAGTTCAAATTCAGCCTCAGACTCTTGACACTTACTAGCTGTGTGACCCTGGGCAAGTCACTTAACCCGGATTGCCTCACCAGAAAGCCAAAAAAAAAAAGCCATAATTAACAAAACTGACATCAGAGAGAAAATTAGTCTAGGGCTGAAAATGCCAAAGGATCTATTCAGAAATTATGAAAATGATAAGGGGCTTCTGTGACTATTAGGAAAGATACGGCAGAAAGCCATAAGAAGGCAGAAAGAGAAAATGAGGATTGATTCAAGTAGAATTCATATACCATAGAAGACCTGGGTCTGAATCAATCTTGAGATGCGGTGAGATCTTAGTCAAGTCACTTGACTTCTCTAGGACTCAATTTCCTAATCAGTCCAACTGTAGACAAGATGGTGATTCCCACCAGATCCAGTGGCCATGAACTCTGTCAGTGAGTGGAGAGTAAAGAGGTCTGTCCTGGCCATAACATCTAATGAACTCTGAGATTTTTTCAACTAAACCATGGCACCATCTTACCCTAAACTTCATTTGGTATTTTCTCTGACTTAAGAACTGCCTGATATATCCTGAGATTGTTTTAGGGGATATGAAGTTTTTGCTTCAGGGGCAGAAGACAAAATATTTCCCCGCACTTGTCAAGTTAGGCTGCCAAACAAGGCTTGGCTCCAGAGGAACTGAGATCATGTTCTCAGCCTGGTAGCAGGTAACCTGCTGAATCACAAGATTTGGGCAGTCCAGGGGTATGCTTCATGGGATCATCTCCAGGGGAAAACCAAGAGGCCAAGGATCAAGTCTAATGCCCACAGCTTGTATATCTCCAGGACAAGGCATGATAACCTCCTAAAGAGGAACAATTTAGCTGCCCCACAAATTGGAATTAAGTCTCAGGAGTCGGGGTTTTTTTTGACATGTTTGCTTTCTGAATTTGCATGGCGTTATCTATGAAAAAGACTTTCTCAATTACTTTATTAGATCCTGACAACACCTTCCTGAATAAAATGGAACAAAGATTTTTTTTTCTTCCAGACATGATTTCTTTGCTATAAGTAACTTCAGGTAAGGAACCTCTCATTTCCAATTCATAAATGGATCTGTTCTGCAATTTATAATTTTTTGAGAGTTGCCTAGAGGCACTAGGAGGTTAATTGACTTTCCTAGAGTCACATAGCCAGTACATCTCAGAGGCATGATTTGAACTCAGAGCTTCCCGCCTCCAAGAGAGGCCCTTCATCCATTATGCTAGACTGGTCTATTAGCCCTTTTGCAGAGGAGAAAACAGGGCCAAGGAGATTCAGAGATGGCAACTCAGGTCCCATGGCAAGCTAGTTAACAGCCAATCAATCAAAAGACATATATTAATTACCTACTATATGTTGTGCATTATGTACTTGGAATAGAGGGACAACATCAAAACAGTGCTTACCCTCAAGAAACTTAAATTTCAAGTACTGGGATTAGCCCAGGCCTCTTGAGTCTTTCTTTAATCTCCATCCACTTTATCACATGGCTAGTCTATTAGCTTTGCTTCCCCAGGTAAGGCAGGGTAGCTTCTGTTGCTCTCTATATAAAATGGCACTAGTGTATCCAGTTAATAGATTATTTAGGCCACTTATTGCTTCTTTTCCTCCTCTCCTTCCTTTCCCTCTTTAACAGGGTAGTACCACTAAACACACACTCCTCCTCAACTTCCCTTGAGTAATGGAAATACATGATTTCATCCACAGCAGTACTCTCTATACTGATGCTGATGTCAACCCTTCCAGGCCCCAATAAATAGCTTTATGAATTATTGTGTACAAAAAATGTCACCACCTAGTGGCTAACCTTCGGATAATGAGTCTCTGAATTTCCCTAGGCTGTTCCTCAAATTACATACATGCAATCTGTCCAACCTCAATTCTATATACTTAAATTATTTCCTGATGGTTAATCCCCCTGGTAGCTTTTGGTGCATTAAGGTAGCCAGGACCTTCCTTCTCATTAGGAGAAGAGTACAGTGGAAGAAGGAAAAATAAGAAATAACCAAACTTAAATGTGATATCACCCCTTCCCCACAGTTATTTCCCCAATCCATACTTACATTGACAGGGTGGGTCCCCAGAGTGGTGCTGCTGCTCTCAAGTTCTAGGGATCATAGGATCATAAGAGTAGAGCTGGAAAGGACTCCAAAATCCTCATTTTACAGATGAGGAAATTGAGGCTTAGAAAACTTAAGAGGCAGATGTGATGGGACCAGCATTTCCCTGATATTGCTTCCTTCCTCCTACCCACAACATAAGGCTTAGCACCTGATTGGCCCTGGACATCAAAGGGCATAAAAAGTCCCAGTCACATGAAGTCTAGGCAACTCTGACTTGGTGAATGTCTGTAGACTACATGAGTCATCAAGTCCTTCATCATATCCTGCCCTGATGGCCACGTACATTTCATATGGAGATAAGGGTAACTATATCCAGAGAAGCTAAGTGTTGTCTCATATTCTCACTGTGTTAGGGCAAAGTAAATCTCCTTTTTGTGAAAAGTTCAATGCCTCACTTCTCCCTAACATCAAACCTGAACTTAAAGAACACTAGTGTTAGAGCCATGGTACTGACAACAAGATTTGAAACCAGGTCTTCCTGATTCCAAGTCTAGTACTCTATATACTTCTACTACACACCGCTTCCCCACAGTCCTGTTGGTGACTACTCTTAACAGCTCATGAGTCCCCACCAGCATGTTTCCCAATAACAATCAGCCAGTAGTCTTAATTAGCTTTTAGCAAAGGCATTTAGTAAGATGGTACAGTAAGAATAGTTGGTATAACACTCCTCCCAAAGGCCTGGGTTATACTTTCCTGCAAATATACACACAGCATTCATGAGAAAAGCCGATTCAAATAGTGTTCAGCGGTATGAAATACTCATATATAATACACATATGGCAAAGGGTAATTCACAACTCCTGGTACTTCAGGGCCTGGATTTCTTTCCTTTTTGATAGAGTTCTTGAGCAGGTCACTCCACTGGTAGCTAGATTGGGCCAGCTCCTCACAGGACAAAGTCTCTACTGGACAGGTCAATCCACTGGACTCCCTGGGCTAGCTCCCTAGTAGATAGCTGGCATTTCTACCATATCTAGCTTCAGCCACAGCTACAATCCTTAGCTGGGGGACTGCCCTTGCCTCAGGGCTAGAGGATGAGTAGAAAACAAGATGGATGGACTTTGTCTACTGGAAAGAGCCTAAGCCTTTCAGAAGTCAGATAATCTAAGTTAAAATCCAAAAAGCCTCAGTTCCGTTAGGAAAAAAAGCAGCTCCAACCCTACCAACAAGGACTTTTCTTTGGGTCATTTTTCTTAGGAATCTCTTCTTCTTCTTCTTCTTCTTCTTCTTCTTCTTCTTCTTCTTCTTCTTCTTCTTCTTCTTCTTCTTCTTTTCCCTCTCTCTCTCTCTCTCCTCTCTCTCTCTGTCTCTGTCTGTCTCTCTGTCTCTGCCTGTCTCCCCTTCCCTCCCTCCTCCTCTTCCTCCTCCTCCTCCTCCTCCTTCTCCTCCTCCTTCTTCTTCTCCTTCTTCTTCTTCTTCTTCTTCTTCTTCTTCTTCTTCTTCTTCTTCTTCTTCTTCTTCTTCTTCCTCTTCTTCTTCTTCTCTCCACTGTCTCTCTCTCACTCTCTTGAGTATGATCAGAATTCATATACATTCTGAACTGTAATGAAAGTATCATATTCTCTCTTATTAGATCCTGTCCCCACCCCAGGGAAAAAGACATAACCTGTCCTCCCTTTTAAGGAACAGGTTCCCCTTTCACAATCCCCAGCTAAACACATTCAATAACTAAGCCACCTTGGGCCAATTATCATTAAATGTTTTTATAACAATTTCACATAGCATGAAGGATAAAAGTTAGCAACCAAGGGGACCAACTGTCTAAAAAACAAATGAATGGAGCTATAACCCATAAGGAACAAAATTGTATTTTCTCTCCTCTTATCACCTCCCTCCCCTTAACAATAGAGTTGAGAAGGGCAACAGAGATTAGTTTAGATTGGTAAATGGAGAGCAGTCTACCTGACCAGCAAGAGAGAATAGTTTAAAAAAAAAGTGTTAGGGACCAAGTACGCCCATGTCAACTAACTCCTCCATGATTTCTTGGTTCCATTCATAACCAATCTAATCTGGTCTGGTCCCTCCCTCTCTGGTCACTCCACTCTCATCCATACCTCAGGCTCCATAACCTCCACTCAAATCTGTCTGCTGGTTGATGGCCAACAGTCATTATGAAGCTTCTTGATCAGACCATCCCAGAAGTCCCAACCAAGGTTTCATCTATATCTCCAGTCTCTTCAGCATGGCTGCCCTCCTTGTCAGAAGTACATCAGGTTCAAACTCACAGGCACTTCAGGAACTCTGGGTAATGTCTGTCTGCCTACAGACAAGCCCTTTCAGTACCTCAAGTTTCCAAGGTAACACCTCTGGGTAATATCAAAGCCCGTGTTACATTCATAAACATTCATAATAATCCCTGATCTCTCTAAATCCCAAGAGTGTTGTAACATTCCAAGGTGCCAAAGCATTTTGAAAAGGAAAAAGAGCTATTCAAATAAGAAGTTTTATTGCAATGATCACTTTGACTATGATTGTAAATTGATACAAGCCATATCCACTAGAACTAATATCCCCTTAGGAAAGAATAGACTAAGCTCCCATATCTAGGAACGAAAAATATTTTTTGGTAAAATGAATGAATGAATGCCCTAGTCCTATGGCATATGTACATCTTGAATATCCTCACACCAATGGCAGTATTTTCCCTAATAGAACCACCTCTTCAACCCTTATCCCATACCTCTCATATGTCTATATTATAACATGAATATATAAGTGTTTATGTGTGTGTGTGTGTGTGTGTGTGTGTGTGTGTGTGTGTGTGTGTGTGTGTATAGAGAGAGAGAAAGAGAAAGAGAGAGTTTCCCTATCTCTTGTAGGCTGTAAGTACAAAGGCCACTCACTGACCCAACCCCACTGCTGATCTACACAGAAGCTTTGACCTTCTCCATTTTCCACCTTGGACCCTCCTTAGGCGCTCCCCATAGCGGCATTAGACTTACACCTGAAAAGTGTTAGCCCTAATACAGCTTAGAATTTTAGAACCAGCCTCAGTCTCCCATGGTAACAGGGATTACAGGCTTGTGCCATCATCCCCAGCAATGAATAATTCTTAATCCAGTGGTAAAGCAGTGGTAATTCAGAGTAGAATCTTTATTACCCATCCCAGTGGGCAGTGGGGCCAGGCTGCCTGGGGTTGGGAATGGGAAAGGGGAAGTCCTACAGTGCCAAAGTTTTATGATTCAAAGTTGGTGGAATATTAGAGATATCTAGAAACTGAGTCCCAGGGAGGTGAAATTACTTCCACAAAGTCACACTGGGAATAAGTGGTATAACCAAATTAAGTGGAGAAGAAAAAAAAACAGAAGGAAGATGAGCTATTATAAATGGAGGGAAAAAAAGTATAGTAATCCTTCATTTGTACAATCGCCAAACACACTGAAAAATATATTCTATAAAAGTGAGGTAAAATAATTATACTGACTTGAATTTCCACCTTTCAGCCCTTCTCCCCCCACCCCCCACACCATAGAATGGCATGTTTCTCAGCCAGGAGTTAGTTCAATACCCCTGAGCCTCAGGTCTCAGACCTCTTTGTTCCCAAATGGTCTCATCTGCTATAAATGAGATGATTATTGAAGGGAGCAGTAATCGTGGCCAAAGCAGCTATGCTCAGCAAGAGGGGATCTCCTAGGGCTTGGGGTACCCTCCAAGGAATTCCAGGGGACAGCAGGCACTAGACAGCCCACATATACCTGCAAGATCCAGCCCTCCCATTCTCTTGGACCTCTCACCACCATCATGGACCTACTCTCTCACCTCTCTGTCGGGGGTTGGAAAGCAGAGCATAGCAGATATGAATTCAGTGAATTGTCTGTGTACAGTCTTATTACAGAGGGTGTTCTAGGTTAAGGAAGAAACAATGGTTGGAACACTGAGCCTGGCGTAGGTGAGCACCTTGCCCCTCAGTTCCACGGCCATGGTCAAATACATAAGTCTCAAGATAGCCCTTATGGGCAAAGCTCCAGCCACAGCAAGGACAGAAGTGACATCACTGCTCCTCAGAGACCCCAGAGCATTGGGGTGGGGTAGGGGACATCCTGGCATGAGTACGCTGATGGTTAAGGAGGAAGCGGGCCTCTCGGAAACAGCGCCTGCATTGGGCACACTGGTACGGCTTCTTGCCACTATGGATTCGTCGGTGAGTGAGCAGATTCTGTTTGAGGCTGAATCGCCGTCCACATTCAGGGCACGGGAAGGGACGCTCACCTGTGTGGGTGCGCTGGTGGACAGAGAGGTTGTGCTGGATGCTGAAGGCCTTGCCACACTCAGGGCAGACATACAAAGCCCGCCCTGCTCCATTCATTCCAGCATGGGCCTTATGGTGCCGAACCAGGCCAGACTGCTGAGGGAAGGTCTGGCCACACAAGAGGCATCGATATGTCTGTTCCTCTGCTGGATGGTGGATAATGAGGCCTTGCTCATCGCTGGGACTCTCCTCCTCATCTGCCTCAGGAGGCTCTCCTCCTGGGGGGGACAGGTTCGACATGGGCACTTCCAACAGCACAAAGGTTCCATTCATTAAGTCACCAACCTCTAGGGAGACAGATACAGAGAGAGAGGGTATGGGGAAATGGAGTGGTTCTGACACAGGTCCATGATAACCTCCTTCCCCAGGTAGAGGCAATATGGGAAGGAACTGTATGGTAGAAAGAACACTGAATTTGGAATCAAAGGATCTGGGTTGGACTGATGGCTTGGTCACTTAATGGCTCCAAGCCTCAGGCACCTCATTTATAAAATGGGGAAGTTCGACTAGAAGTCTCTAAATTTTTTAATCCTACCCTCTTGTGCTAGAGAAGTGTGGCAGCCTCTCAGCAATTTATCTGCAACCAGCCTCACTTCCCACTCTTCCCCACTGCAATCAGGATGATGGATCTATAGCTAGAAGGGAACTCAGAGGCCATCTTGTCCAATCCTCTAATTTGACAGATAAGTAAACTAGACTCCTGACTTGCCCTAAGTCACACAGCTAGTAAGCCTTAGAGGAAAGATTTAAACCCATGGGAGTCCTCTGACTCCCAAGTCAGACTTCTTTCCACTGGAGTCAACCCTGATTCCAGCCAAACTAGTTTACTCCCAGTAAAATAAGCCTTACCATTTGCCTCAGCTAAAAGCTAAATTATAACCTCTCCAGGTCCCACCCATTCTCCCAGGCCCATCTCATCTGGTTCCTCTTCCTCCTCCTCCTCTGCCTTCTCTGACCACTCTATCCCAGGGGAATTTCCCTGCTTAGATCTCCTATAGAAGCTACTAACATTTTACATATGATATCATAAGATTTAATTCTTGAGATCATCTAGAACAGAAGTGTCAAACTCAAGACCTTCGGTACTATCCCCAGTAGCAGATTAAAATCTAATTTGGAAATATTTAATAAAACAAAAATATAAGGCAACATAGATAATGTTAATTTGTGGTTTTCTAAGTCAATATCGCCCCACAGGGGATCCTTTTCTATTTGAGTTTGATATCACTGGTTTGCCTTCATTTTACAGGCAAGGAAAGAGAGAATCAGAGAGAAGGGCATTCAGGAATCAGCAAAGCCAGTATCTGGATGGAGATTCTCTGATTCCAAATCCAGTGTTTTCCCACATTATTGTTGTTGTTGTTGTTAATCTGGCCTATGACTCCATTGTCATGGAGAGCTCCTGGTGCAGAATCTCCCTCCCTAATGCAGGGTAGCAACTCATCTGTAAGTTCTATTCTTAGAAAGTTTCCTTTCAATGCAAGGCCCACCCATGATTCCAGAGGACAGATGATGAAGCATGCTGCCCAACTCCTGACAGGGAGATGATGGATGGACTCATAATGAGACATATATATTTTTTGATGTGGCAAATGAAGGAATTTGCTTTGCTTGACTATGAACATTTATTATGCATTGTGTTTTTTCCTTTAAAAAAAAACTAGAGGCAGCTAGGTGGCACAGTGGATAGAGCACTGGCCCTGGATTCAGGAGGACTTGAGTTCAAGTCCAGCCTCAGACACTTGACACTTACAAGCTGTGTGATCCTAGGCAAGTCACTTAACCCCATTGCCTAGCCAAAAAAAAAAAAGGTCTTTGGGGCAGCTAGGTGGCACAGTGGATAAATCACCAGCCTTGGATTCAGGAGAATCTGAGTTCAAATCCGACCTCAGACACTTGACACTTACTAGCTGTGTAACCCCAATTTCCAGACCCAAAAAAAACCCCTAATGATGGGGAGAGGCAGAGACAAAGTAAATTTTTGTTGGTTGAAAAATATAAAATAAAATTTTAATAAATAAGTGTGAAAAAAGAAAGTTTCCTAGTCATCACAAGGTCAAGTGACTTGCCCAAGGTCATACAGAGTACAATAGGTTTGTATGAAGTAGGGCTTAAACCCAAGTCCCCAAGCACCTTGCCTAGTGCCTGGCACATTGCAGGTGCTTAATAAGTGCTTGTGGATTGACTGCCTCCTAGCTTCAAGGCCAAACTCCTGCCACTTCATCACATTATTTTACAAATGTGCAATAACTTCATATTGTGTCCACAACTAGAGACCATGTCATTATCCCTGAGGAGGTCAGTGCTGATGCCTTCTGTTTCTCTGTATCCTCATACTACCAGAAATGAGCATTTACTAAGGCAGTCAACAAATACTTGTAGATTAACTCAAATTAATGCTGGGATTCCTTCATTTATCATTTTGAAGTCCCAAAGGCCCTCTCTCCCACAGGGTACATACTCCAGTGTAGGAAAAAAAATTTTTTTATTATTATGTTAACTAAGTTGTACAATGGGAAGAGTGTGGGATCTGGAGTTAAGAAGGTTCAAATTCTATTCTTGCCTCAGATAAGTACTAACTGTATAACCCTGGGTAAGTCATTCAATCTCAGTTTCCTCAGTTTCCTCAATGGTAAAATGGGGATAACAATAATACCTACTCCAACAGGGCTATTGTGAAAATCGAATGAGTTAATATATATAAAGCACTGTATGAATACTAGCTATCATTAGAATTATTACCTTATTACTAAAAACCCATGACATTCATGAGGTCCTTTATATTTCTTTTAGCATTTTCTTTCTTACTTCAAGGCAGGGGTTATTTATCCCCACTTTCCAGATAAGGAGACTGACCCTCAGAAAGGTTCAATTCAACAAATTCAATTCAGTAAACATTTGAGTGCCTACTGTGTGCCAGGCTTTGGTGATACAAAAATAAAAATGACTTGTTCAAGGTAGAAAAGCCAGGACTAGAATCCAGGGCTCCTGTCTCCAACTTTCCCCTATACGCTTTCTCTTCAGCCTTTCCTGGAATCAGTCAACAAGCAGTTATCAAGCACCTATTATGTACCTGACTCTGTAGTAAGCCTGGAAGGAGGAGGCAGGTTGATCACATTTTTTTTTTGCCCCTGGAGAGGCACTTGCTCCCATCCCAAAATTCTGTGATTTAGTCCAGAAGATCAGACTCTAGAAGGTTGGGGGTAAGGGGTTCTGGGTTTTTTCCTCCCCTATAACCACTGCAATATACTCTTCCCCTCTCCACCTTCCCATGTTTAGAGTAGGGTAGGGAAAAACAAGCAGAGATGAACTGGGGATATTTGGAAGAATTAGGGAAAGTCAAAGGGGCAGAGGCACATGAGGCCTTGCCTAGGCATGAAGCCAAATTCTGGGAGCAGACAGCTCCTTTTAAAGGTCCCAAATCCTTCCATTGCATCGATTCCTGCACCAAAACCCATTCAGATCCCCCTGCCATGTTTCCTCCCACCCCAGCCTCTGCAGCCCACATAGGAGTTTGAGGTCGTCTCTCTCACGTTAGTCCAAGAAAGAGCTGGTGATGATTCCAGGCTGCTGTCCCCAACTCCTGAGCCCGTCCCACTGTCCCAAACTCACGAGCCTAGATTGCGTCCCTGCTCCTCCTCCTCCTGGCTCCGACCCCACGAGAGGCTGCGCTGCATGCCGGAAATACGGTAACTTTGGGAGCGAGAGCTGGTCCCCACTGCTTCAAGGTAAATTTACAGTAAATACGGTAAACTTCCAGCTAAGCTTCCCTTTTAAATACAATAGCCCTCCCGCAGCCACCCTTCTCCAGGTACTTCGGTCAGCTCCGGCTTTGACTTATACTTCCGTAGGACCGCTAGCCCACCCATCTCACTCCACCCTCAGCAGCAAGCCTCCAGAATCATGCACAGAAAGGAGGCTGTAGTCGTGCTGTTGCCCCCTCATCCCCAGGCCCCATGCATCAGCGCTTTATTCAGTAATTACGGTAACCCACCCGCAGCGACTTCAGGCAGCCTTAGGTAAATAAGGTAATCCTCCTGCTGTAAATGCCCACTTAGCTCTTCAGGAATAGGGAGACTCTCCTTGCGACTCTCAGCAAATACGGTAACGCTTCCGCAGTGACAACCTCAGTCCACCCACCACCTACCCCCGCCCCTAAGGGCCCAGCTCGCCCTTGGTAAATACGGTAACTGCCGCAGCGGTCCCTGGCTGGACCTGGGACTTACGTGATGCGGCCGACTGTGTGCCGAGTCCAGAGCCCTCCCCTCCGACGCTCGTCTGCACAGCAGCCCCACCAGGCTGAGAGGGCTAACTGGCCCAAAACCTGGACTGCAGAAGAAAGGAGGAGAGATGGTTATGTGGGGCGGGGATGGGGGGGGGGGCCGGCAGAAACCAGCATCCCGAGGCAGGGTATTATTGGGGGAAGGGGAAGGGTCCTCTCTGCCCCAACCTCTGGGATCCAGAAATCATGGTATTTCGAGCTGGGGAGGACCAGAAGTGATTTAATGCATCTTGTTTAACAGGTGGAGAAAATGAGACCCAAAGAAGTGAGTGAGTTGCCCAAGGTCACACTGGTGAAGGAGGATTTGAAAACAAGTCTTCTGTCTCAAACTCCAAAGCTCTTTGTGGTACAAGAGATTAGACCAATACTCCCCTGGGGGGAGAGCCAGGAACTCCTAAGGTCACCCTCCTCTTGGGGCCAGAATTGGCTGTGGAGAAACCTTAGGAGCCAGCCTAAAATCCTTAACCTTAACAAATTCTTGACTTCAGGGAAATCCTGTCATTACCCACTTGTAGGTCATTCAAATTTCCCTCTGCCCACTCTTCCAGAACAGGGATTTCCAGTTCCTTTCTATTCTTGTTTCAAAATTCCTCTTCCCCGACCCTTACACACACATATACACCCAGATTCCTTACCAGCTGAGCCAAATTCTCATCTCCATTTTATAAAGCCAGGTCCCTGACTCATCCCATATCAAGCCAGAACTTAGTTCAGCTTTCTTCCAGATGTGATATTAGTGGCTGTGAGGAAGTCAATGAGCCCCTGTGAAGGAACCAGACCTGGGCCTTAGGATTTATTCACCAGTGGCACTAGATTCCCTGCTTGGAGTAAATCCAGAGGGCCTGTCCTTCAGTCTCTGGGCTTTCACCCTTCACTATTCTCTAGAATGATCCCTGGACTAGAGGCACAGTGCCTCATAAACCTAAACTAGCTTTCCTTTCTTGGGTTTAATGCCTTCTTCTTCCCTTCTGCCTAAGGGGGGGAAAAAAGGATGCCCCTCTAATTTGCCAAAGCTCTCTATCTATACCTCAACCCTTCAAAGTCATCTTAAAATTTCCTCTTTCACATCCAATCAGTTGCCAAGAGTCTATTTCTCTTCATTCACCCTATAACTACCTCAATTCCAGTTCTCATCTTCTCTTTCTACCCCACAGGTCCCTCAGCTCTGATAGGTTAGCTTTTGTTTCCATACCCATGTTCCATTAATATTGCCCTCTCTCATGCATACTCAAACAATTCCTTCTCAGCTGGCTCCTTTTCAGCCTACAAATACACTCCAAAAGAAAATTTTCCCTTGGTCCCACTACTTTTTCAGCTTATGCTCCTATCTCTTCTCCTTTGCTGCCAAATCCTGGAGCTTATATTTTGCAGCACTTTGCAATATTGTTTATGAACTAATCCTAAGTCTGCTAATGACTTTATCACTTTTAATGATCTTTCCTCCATACACTTTGACAGAGGTCTTTGGTCCTCTGCTCTCTACACTCTCTCTTGGAAATTTCATTCCTATTGTGGCTTCAACTCCCTATGCAGATGATCCCAAACCTAAATCTCCAGTCCCAACCTCTTTTCTGAGCTCCAGGCCTAGATCTTCAATTGTCTTTAGGATTGCTCTACCCAGATGTCCTTTAGGTAATTCAAACTCAAAATGTTCTGTAATGGGAGACCAGCCAGTGAGGGACCTGCCCTTAGAGCACTCATAATATCCATGTGGCGATTTGATGAGCCTGCTTTTGGAAATGCAAGATGGAAGAGCCCTTTCACCCCACCCTCAACCCACTTCAGAGCATATAAAGGTGTTCTTTGTTTCCTGTTGACTTGCCAAAGAGTGACAAAAAACTGTTTAACTGGCTGCTGAGCAGTAACTGAGTGTCTTTAAAAAGCTGAGATGGCCAAACTCTTTCTTTCCCTGGTGGCTCTAGTGAGATAAGAAATGTGGTGAGACTCCTGGAAAGCAGGAAAAGTAGCTATTTGTAGTCTTGAACACAAGGCACTATTGTTTGTCTCTCTTGTGTTCCGTCTTACCTGATAGGTGAAGGAGTGCTGTAGGCAAAAAGGACAAGTTTATGACCTTGAGAATTTTGAAAGCCATGAGAGGTCCCAAAAAAGGGAGTCTATAAGCAGACTCAGGCCAGAAGGAGATTGACCCAGAAGCCAAGATGGTTTACTTGGGTCCTGCAAACAAAGGAACTATTTGTTCATTGGCTATGACACACCTGGCTGGGGGGGGGGGGGAATATTTAGTAGTAACCACTTTAAGTTTGAGCCCATTCTCCCCAGGGACCAAGGTGGTAGAAGAGAGTTTGGGAGGTTTTTGTCCTTCAGTTCCTGCTATATTTTCTTGGTAAATATCCTTTTGTAAAAGCTAGTTGATATTACCTGGCTAGTTGATATTGGAGACATATTAACTGGTAAGGGGAAATGTATCAAACAGCAGCTTGTGAGTGTTAGTATTAAATATCCCAAACCCTCAGTGTTCCCTGCTAAGACCCTGAGGGGAGCAGAAGTAGCCACTCTCTGGAAACCAGACCTGCCTGTGAGAGGGGGGTTGGGAAGTGAATCCTAGAGCTGATGCTGTAGTTCAAAGCCAAGTCTACTATCTTTCTCCCTAATCCTCCTCTTCTTCTGACTTCACTGTTTCTAGCTATGGCAACAACATTCACCCATCCAATCTCCCATCTTCACAACCTGAGGATTATCTTTGACTCCCTTCTTCTCCCTTATCTCTCATAGCTACTCAGGTATCCATTAGTTGCAGCAGAGACTACTGTCTCCTTCCAGATGCTTTTTGTTCCCTTTGTTTTGATGATATGGTCCTACTCCTACCTCTCTGATAGAGTTTCCTATGTTTATTTCACTGGCAATTCATCTTTCTCCTAGAAATCCTCCAAGGTTCTATCCTTGGCTGCTATCTTTTCTCTCACTTCACTCTCATCCACTCCCATGGCTTCAGTTATCATTTGAAGATAGATCCCAAATCTTTATCTTCACCTTCAACCTTTTCCTAATCTCTGGCTCCATATTTTCATTTTCCTATTAGATATCGCTCTCTGAATGTCTACTATATATAACTTGAATTCAAGAAGTCTTAAGTGTGAATTCATTTTCTTCTCTCAGAAACCTGTACCTAGGGGCAGCTAGGTGGCTCAGTGGATAGAGCATCAGCCTTGGATTCAGGAGGACCTGAGTTCAAATCCAGCTTCAGATACTTACTAGCTGTGTGACTCTGGGCAAGTCATTTAACCCCAATTACCTCACCAAAAAAAGAAAGAAAGAAACCTGTCCCTTCTCTTAAATTCTGTTTCTACTGATGACACACCAGGAAGCAGCACAGTACAAGAACAAGAAAGAACATTGGATGGAGTGGTAGGGGACTTGGGTTCAAATTTTGACTTTTCCATGCACTACCTGGATGGCCTTAGGCAAGTTTCTCTGGACCTCAGTTTCCTCTGTAAGAAAATGGAGTTGGACTCAGCCTCTGAGATGGCTTCCAGCTCCAGATCTGTGAACCAGTCACCTAAGTGTATTTTCAAAGTCATCTTTGAATTTGCTCTTCTGCATCTACTCAGTTACCAAGCCCTCTTGATTCTACTTCAGCAGAATCTTTCACATGAATATAATATTCTCTATTCTCTCTACAACCACCTCAATTCCAGTTGCAATCTTTTCTTTCTGCCCCATAGGTCCCTCTACTCTGATAGGTCAGTTTTTCCCTTATCTTGTCTGCCCTAGGTGCCCATTCCACACCATGCTGCAATTAGCATATCCCTTCTCTTTCTGTGTCTTCTCCCATTCAAATGTAAGCCCCTAAAGGGTGAGGACTGTCTTCCTAGCCTGTATTGTTTCTCCCAAAGTACAGTGCTTAACACATAGTAAGCATATAAGAAATGCTTTATCATTCTATCACCTAATTTATTTATTCTAGTTTCTTGATTGATTTTCCTGCTTCTAATCTATCCTCTTTTCTTTTTATTTATTTCTCCAATTCTTAAACACCAAAAAAGAACAATTCCACATCTACAGCGAGACACAAAGAGGATTGCATATGAAACCATGCTTCTACCCCAGCTTCTCTGAAATAGTCTCTTTCCTAATTTCTTACAGCACAATCATGTTCCAGTACATTCATATACAACTTTTTGTTCAGCCATTCCCTTTAAATTCTAGTACTTTGCTTGCCCCACTCCCTGACCCTTAAATCCTACCTCCAGGATCAACAAGTTTATTTTGCTTGCAGTTCCCTCTCCAGTATTATCCTCTTTTTCCCCATATCTGAATCTTTCCTGGTTGAGTTTAATATATTTTTGTGTGTTCAGCCCTTCTTGTCTGTTTCAGATAAGAGTAAAGTTCATTTGATGCCTATTTGATCATCACGATCTATATTTGTCCTCATGCACACTAATTATGAGAAATAGCAAGTTACATTCTCTTTCTTCTTTTCCACACTGGTGTATTTCTCTAATCTTCTCTTCTCTTTCCCCTCTTCAGATCCTCAGAAAAGAATGACTCAATTCCTAGAGCCTCTGTTTTTCTTATTTTAACTTTCACTGTTTATCTTACTTAACTCTCTCAATACCTTCTGGAGACATGGAGATTCTGAAGGGAAACTTACTGCTTCTCCCCTCATTAGAATGTTAGCACCACATCATCATAAAACTCTTTTCAATTGTACAAAATAAATTTACCTTTCTAGGTTTCTCTGGATTCTTGTGTTTGTATTTTAAAGCTCCTATATTCAGCCCTGTTTTTTTTTATCAGAAATGCCTCAAAATCTTCTTCTCCATTAAAGATTTGTTTTTTTTATTCCTATAGGATTATAGTCAACTTACCAGAATAAGTTATTCTTGATTATTAG